AATGTGGATGTTTCCAGAGGATGGACATGTGATGCTGCACGGAAAAATGTAGCGTGGTTTACTAAATCCTGACTTAGGGTTTTATCAATGAGAAAGTGAAAGCTATATACATTAAATTATGGTTTTGAAAATTTTGCTAAATTTTGTACATGTACTATAACAAGAACAAGAACAAGCAAGCTTTAAAATCTTTTTCAGGTTCTGTAGTGAGGGATGAGGTTGGTACACTGCAATCATCGCCCTGGAAGCGAAGACTTGTGTGACGTTCACGGTCCTGGCCCCTGAAGCTGTGTAGCAGATTCATGGCCATGTTTCAGGTGAGACATGATAAGCACTTGAACGAGGAGCAAGAAGAGGAAAAGGAGGAGGAGGAGGAGGAAGAGGAGGAGGACGAGGAAGAAGAGGAGGAGGAGGTGAGGAAGGAGGAGGAGGAAGGGAGGAGGAGAAGGAGGAAGAGGAGGAGGAGAAGGAGGAGGAGGAGCAGGAGGAGGAGGAGAAGAGGAGGAGGAAGAGGTGAGGAGCCTAAGAAAGGAGCCACGTGCACGGTTGCTGTGAAGAGACGACGGAGGGTGTGGGCAGGAGCTCAGGATTCCTCCGCAAGGACACACACAGGGCCGGGGTGCTCACCTGAGCCAGTCCTGCTGGGAAGGAAACGCCACCATTTGCTGACTGTGATTTTGTTCTTTTTCATTCCACTGCGCTTGGATATAGTGCCTATGGTTCCTTATGCCTAGAATTTCCTTTGCCCCCTAACTAAGTGCTGGTCTTAAATGCAAAAGAATTGTCCAATTCGCTGGCAGCGATACCCACGGGTAAGTCATTTCAGCCTCCTCATTTGGGAGAGCCCTGCTGCCCTGAGGACCCCAAAGGACCCTTTTCCAGCTCCCACCACCTCCGATGGCGCCTCTCCTAGGCTCCTCTACGCATTCCTATCCCTCCAGTTGTGAAAGGGGTAACCATGGGGGGAGGACAGAGTTTTAAGGACCCTGCCTCTCCTCAAAGCTCTCCACCTGTTCTTTTGATTATTGTCCGCCCATCTTTAATAGGCTGTTAAATACTATAAGCATCAGCTCTATTTTATAGCAAAAAGGCAGACACTTCAGCACTTATTAGGCAATAAATACAGACAGGGCACAGGAACAATTTTTGTGTCATCAAATTTAAGAGGTCACAATTCCAATAGTGAACTTAAAAAAAAATATGAAGGCAAAATCAACTGCCTATCAGTCAAAATCAATTATGCAAGTCAAC